ACTGCAGCGCAACCCAAGCGCAATCGCCTGTATATGCGTGTGTTTGTGTGTGTGCATGTGTTTCTTTGAATGCGTGTGTGTGTGTGTGTGCGTGTGAATGTGCGAATTATTATTGAAATATCAGTTGCTCGAAGGGTTCAGGGGATCTCGTAGTCGAGCAGTCTCGACTAGAGCTTTCTTACTTGTTGAAATTTAATTTTAGAGCAATGTGTCAACAAATGGCCAAAGTCTCGGGTTGCCCCAGCAGTGAACCTGCTGGCTGACCAGCCATACGCTGGCTGTTGCATCGTTATTTTAAACATTAAATTTGTTTAAATTTTGCTTTTTTATCTGTCAGTACTGCGGGAGAGGGCGAGAGGGAGGGAGAGCGGGGTAGAGTGTGAGCGAGTGAGATTAACAATAAACCTTCCGTTTGAAGCGCGGAGCAGCTGTTGGGTTTATGCACAAGTAAATTGTTTTCAACTATTTTGATGGCCCCGGCCCGAACAAGCCGTAAATCTTGAGCACGCTTGTGCGCCTCCAGACGCTGCTCGAGTTGTAGCTGCCGCTGCCGCTGCTGCTGCCGCTGCTGCTGAAGCGATGTTTATCTCGCTTTTATGACAGTTTCACACACACTCAGAGCAGCAGCGGCAGCAGCAGCTTAACACACGGCGGCTACGTGATTTTGCATTTGGCAAAATGCGCCTGAAAAAGGAGAAGATGAACCGCCACTTGTGCGAGAACATTGCAAGCGGCTATGAACGACTTAGCAATGCTCTGCTGACACAGCTAGAATCGCCAATTGGACTTGTGACCAATTGTAATAGATCTTCTACGTATATATTTAATATATCTCTATATATAGCTTTTCTTGAGTTTTGCTTACGCATCTGCTAGTTGTCGATTCACACTCTTTGTTCTCTTGTTGTTGTCCCACACGAAAAGTGAAAAAGGATATTTCGAGTTCCTTAGATCGATACACGCATGATTTTACGAGCCGTTCCAACGCAAATGAATAAAGTGCATAAAATTTGGCTACATTTTGCCAAAAACGAATTCATGCATGAATATTGACAGCGCGATATGTGAGCCAGCAGGAATGCATATAGTATATGTGTATTTATATATGCATAAGTATATAGCTGTGTCTATAGTAGTGCGAATATTTGATGGAAATGGAAATAGAAAAGTCTAACTTAATTGTTCATATATTATTTCGTATCACGTCTTATCCTGTAATCGATGAGAATCTGGCGCAGATTAAAAGCAATTTAATGCCACGCCTACTGCACTACTTGTCTACTCCTAGTACTAATTAGTAAATAGATATATAAATCAGAGATATATTTATCAGAGAGGTGAACTGCCCATGTTATTACGATAATTCCGGTGCT